ATGCCCAGCTATTTTTTGTTATTGTTGTTATAGTTGTCATAGTGGTTTGGCAGGCTCGGGCTGGGTTTGAACCCACCAGCTCCAATGTATGTGGCTGTCGCCCTACCCGCTGAGCACAGGTGCGGAGCCAGGCACACCCCATCTTATTCCGGCAATACCTCCCAGACTCAGAAGGCTGTTGGACCTCTTTGGGTAACCAAGTAGCATGTTCTTGGTGGGTGATCTGGCTGAGAAGTTAATCCCCTGTGGTGATTAGGTCTTGAGAGAACACCAAATAAGATTGGAGCCCTGCAGTGAGCAGACCACCTCAGAGAGTTGGGTGCTCTGATGTCGCTCTTGGGAAGACCCTTCTGGTAGGTCCCAGTATTTCCTGCTCATCCCACTTCTGCAGTGGTGAGGCTTCTGCTGTGCAATGTGAGGTTATGCCCAACCCGTGGCAGACTCGGAGCCCTTCCTGAGCTGGCACCCAGGGTGACGTGCTGTCATTTCCGCAGGCACTGCCCTCTTTCCAGATCCCTGTCTCTCCGCACATCTACACCAGTGTCAGTTGGGCTGCTGCCCCTTCCACTGCCTGCTCCCTCTCACCGGTAAGTGTCCCTGTCTCTGTGGCCGGCAGTGCTCTGACTCTGGGTGGGGGGCTGGTAGGATCCTGGGGCTCTCCCACACACCCCAGAGCTGGAAGCTGTCTCTTGGCACATGGCACAGGTGGGTGGTGTCGTGCCTCCAGCCCCCAAACTCCTTGATGGTGTCCATGTGTCTCCCCTCTCCCGGGTGCTCCCCGCTGGCCATGGGAGCTTGCAGAACAGTCCAAGTCAGGAAGGTTTCTTGCCAAGACAATCACAGAACGAGGCTGGGATCAGTGCCCTATTCATCCATGAATGTGGTGGGTGCTGGTTAGGGTTTTAATGCCAAGAGGAGAGAAAAGGAGAGAGTGCAGGGGTATGTGAGGTGGGTCAGAAATCTCAAGACTATCTTGACCCTGAAATAAAAGTGCCCTGAGGACATTTTGAACCACACCCAGGGGCTCTAGTCCTGCAGAGAGGTGTCACACATTGTAAAACCGAATTGCCAGGTGTGGTTGAGATGCCTACAGTGGGATGCCTTCCTGTTGGGGCAGCCTTGAAGGTGGCCAGGCCGGGTTCTGGGCATGGCCTAGGGCTGCTCCATACTCTCTAGCCCCCCTTGGCTGGTTGGCTACTGAGAATGCCCCTGAGACGCGGAAGGTCCCCTGAGACTCAGCAAGGCCTCCTGTCCCTCTGCTTGCTGTGGGCCGGCAGGGTGAGGAGTGGCTCCACAAGTCATGTGGGGCGGCATTCTTGCCCTTCCCGACTGCCCTCCTGCTCACGGCCTCTCTCCCCGTGCCCAGGTCCGGAGCCGGTCTCTGAGCTTCAGTGAGCCCCAGCAGCTGCCACCTGCAGTGAAATCTCATCTGATCGTCACTTCTCCACCCCGGGCCCCAAGCAGTGCCAGGTGAGAGTGCGCTGTTGTGCCCTGCCCTCTGCTTCCTGTCCCCCTCGTCACCACTGGTGGCACACACTCTGAGTTCACCAGGGTTCGTCCCCAGAGGGGAGCCCAGAGGGAGGCTACACCAGAGAGGGTGGCTTTTGTCCTCAGAGCCTCTGACCTGGGCCTCATTGGCTTCCATGGGGAGCTGCCCCCTCTGGCCTCTGCTTGTCACTCAGCCCGGAGCTTGCTGGCTGTCCAGGTGTAACCTTGGCCGTGGGCCGTGACTCTGTGCTCTCATTACTCTCTTGGGCAGGAAAGCTCGAGGGGAGGCTAAGAAGTGCCGCAAGGTGTACGGCATCGAGCACCGGGACCAGTGGTGCACAGCCTGCCGCTGGAAGAAGGCTTGCCAGCGCTTCCTGGACTGACCTGCCAGCTGCCTCTGCTCCCTGTGCCTGGCCCAACCGGCTGCCAGCTGACAATAGGTGTCACCAGCCCTCAGAGGAAACGGAAAAGAGAAAAGTGGAGATGCAGAGTTTGGGCTCTATTGGCTAAGGTGTAACACTTAAAGCATTTTTTCCCCCTTTGTGGGAACATTTTATTTTTTAAAAAAAGAAACTCGAAATATTTTTGTCCCCCCCCAAATAGGAGAGAGCCAAAACTGACCGAGGGTATTCAGCAGCGAACCGGACAGAGACCAAAGAATTAATTTCCCTCCCTTTCCTGCGTATCCTCTCTCTAGGGGATTCAGTGTACATATCAGAAGGAGGAACAGCTCGTTCTGTTTCCTGCTGAGTTGATGAATTCTTTGCTTTCTCAACTCTTTCCAGAAAGGACTGTGAGCAAGATGAATTTACTTTTCTTTTAAAAAAAATTTTTTTTTTTTTCCCTGGCTGATGGGTGACAGTGCGCAGGACTGCGTGGATGGGGCGAGAGTGGTGCCCGAGCTTTCCAGGGCGTGCCGCCTCTTCCCGCCCAGGCAGCTAAGGTAAGGTAAGGTAAAGAAAACCCTTTCTCAGCAACAGCTGCGGTTTGAATCTGGGTGCCCCCAGACACTTTGGGATGTGGCTTCTTCTCAAAGCCCAGACTAACAGATTTTTAAAGACTATCCCCAAATTGCTGAGCCAAAAGGCTAACAAGAATTCACTTTTTGAAACCTGGCAGTTAAACACTACCTTGACCATTCTCTCCTCTTTCCTCGAGGAGTTCTAGAGGGTTTCAGTGTCTTTGGAAACTCTCTGCTCTTTACCTGAACAAACTCCCCCATGTCTGCCTCTTCCTTCCAGTTAAGGACGCTTCTGAAACGCTTCCTTTCCTTTTAGGGTGGATTCGGAAGCCTTTACTGATTAAAGTTTTGTTTGGGTGGCCAGAGGGGACCTCAGCAGTGGGTTCCTTTTTTGTCTCCCTGGGACAAAAGCTTTACCAGGGATTTCCCCATTTCCCTTTTCTGCCTGGAGGGTAGGATGGGAAAGGCCAAAGAGAGTCCCTCACGGGGGTGAGATTCAGGCTGAGGAAATCGCGGAGGAAGATGGGTTGGACGAGCGAGACTGGGCTGCAGAGTGAGCACAGCTGTTGAGGAGGAGGGAGGTTTGGGGAGTTCTGTGCCATGCCAGCTGTGACACAGACTGGGAGGGGCCTCAGCCCCCAGCCAGGACACGTGCTTGTTCTGGGGGTTCCCCTTTCTTCTGAGCATTCCTCAGAGGCTGCTCGAGCGTGACCACCTGGTGCCTAGCTGTCTTGGGGACAAGTCCTGGCCCTGCGTCCCGGATGTCAGGGGCTCAGGGATGCCCAACAAGTCACCTCTCCTAGTACTGAGTGGCAGCGTCCACCCCTAGATGGCCATCAAGGCTGTCCTCTCGGTCCTGGGTGAAGACACTTGGCCACCGAGGCTGTGTTGGATGCTTCCGAGGGACACGGAAATGTGCTTTTCAATCTGAGACTCACTGAGTGTTACAAAAGTGGATGTAACCAACACCGGGGGCATGGTGTTCTGAAGGGTATGGTGGCCTGTGTTGGTGACAGAAAGGACAGACACCTGCACACAGGTGTCTCTGGTGGTGATAGTGTATGTTTTTATAACTTAGTAAAAAAATATGTATATGGAATTCTGTCTCTTGTCGAAGTGGGCTAGCCCACGGCGGCCTGAGCTCCTCTTCCTGTTCCTCCCACCTCCTTGAGAACAGAGAGCCAGCGGCCCCTCGTGGCTCTTTCTGCCTCTCCTTAGAGCCTGTCGGTGAAGAGTGGGACCTTCTTGACCCATGGACACCCAGCCCCTGGGGGTCTTCTGTTCCTTCTTCACCAGAGCTCTTGCAGAGTCTCCGCTTTAGAGAACCTGTTCTAATCTCCCCCCTCTGTCGGGGCCATGGAGACATAACTGGATATATAGACTTTTCTCCTTGGGAGGTGGGCTTCTCACGCCCCTGGTACACAGAGGAGGAAAAGAAGAGAGAAGAGGAGGATGGAACAGTTTGGAAGCTGGGCTGGCTTTGTTCTTGTTCTCGGTCTTTGGTTTGGGTTCAGCCTTCCCTGCCCCTTGGCTCCATCTCCTTTTCGGGGGTGGCGGCTCCCACTGCCCTCCCTCCACCGGCTCCCGTCTTGTTGCTGTCGTGTTGGTTCTTAGCACGTGCTCTGTCCTTGGGGTTGCTCCATTTGTTTCTTCTCGGAGGGTGGGGGTGGTTTGTGCATCGACCCAGCGGTCACGCCTGTTTTCTTCATCTCTGTATCTCCCTCCTTCCCAGCCCGCCCGGGCAGCAGAATCTGCTGGAGAGAAGACGCCACAGATGTGCTTTTGAAACTAACAGGACCGATTTTCAAAGCAGTTATCTTGGGAAACTGTTCATCCCAGGCATGTTACTTTCATCCAGAATATTTCTCGGGATTTAGCTTCAGATTCTGTGGTGCTGTGTTCTGAGCGGCTTTAACGATGCCAAGTCTGCTCCGTTAGTGCGGAGAGTGTCCAGCCAATGGTGTCTGTGGTCAAGTGAGATCTCAGGTTGCAAAGCAAAAGGACTATCAAAGTAAAAAATAGCTGGGATTTAATTATGTGACTTTTAAAGTGGCTCTGAGAGCATTTTTGTAATTTCAGGGAGTGTTTTCAGCACTGGTCACGTTGCCGTAGTAAGTCTGTAGCTGGACTCCTTGGAGCACAATATTAATTTGGAGGTGGAGACTCTGATTTGTTGGGAGAAATCTGTCCTGTTACTTTCATCCCAGGTTCTGCCTTTGACCAAGGGCAAAAAAAAAAAAAAAAAAAAAAAAAAAAAAAGAGAAGAGGGAGATAAATCCCATCTGTGAATTTGTCTTATTGGCGCCTTTGCCCCCAGCTGTCTTCCAAGTATTATTTTTACTGTTAAAAATTTTTTTAAAAAAATGTGAAATGTAATGTTTTTACAGCAACAATATGAAATATATTTTATAAGGAATAAAATGGTACCTTGTCTGATTTAACGTGTGCCTGTCCATCTGCCCCGCCTCCCACAAAGACCGAGGTTGTCATTATCCTGGGTGTTAAATGACAGCTGTCACACTGTAGGTAAAGTGTACACGTCGATTTGCTTGTAACAGCCATAGGTAATGTGGACAAGGGGCTAGGCCCAGCGCTTACGTAAGCTGCCCAAGTATCCCTACGAGGGAGTAACCCTAATTATTCCTATTTTATAGATGAGAGTAAGGCACAGAGGTTAGATAATTTGCCCCAGGTCACATACTGGGCAGTAATGGCACCAGGATTGGAATTGAGGCAGTAACTATTTTCTGCTGTTTATATTGACAGAGAGGGGAGCCTATTCTTGGCCACGTTCTCCAGTCTGTTGGGGAATGAGCAAGTGGCTTAGGGGAAAGTGAGTGACCCTCTGGGTGGGTTCAGAACATGTTCTGCTCCCTACAGACAGATTCTGTGTGCTGTGAGGGCCCAAACTGCTGGCAGGTGGCCTGGGCAGGAAGGCTGTTATAAGCGGAACGCATTGTGCTGCCCAGGGCCCAGTGTGTGCAAGTTTAGTTGCTGACCTTTAAGAACTGTCCATCAAGGCAATGCTAGATTCTGAGAACAACACTGAGTGACATAAACTGGCCTTGAAGTTGTTGTGGAAACATATTTAAATGTTCAGAGTACATTTAAATAAGAAAGGGAGGCTGGGGTTGTCTGTTCAGAATCCAGCCCGGGCCTGCCAAACAACAATGATGGCTGCAACCAAAATATAGCCGGGCGCTGTGGCGGGCGCCTGTGGTCCCAGCTACTTGGGAGGCTGAGGCAAGAGAATCGCTTGAACCCACGAGTTGGAGGTTGCTGTGAGTTGTGATGTCACGGCACTCTACCCAGGGCAACAGCTTGAGCTCTGTCTCAAAAATAAATAGATGAATAAATAAGAAGGGGAATGGTTGCCCTGATGAGAGTTTTATGTAGGGGTAGGCTCCTTTCTGCAGCAGGTTGGCCTTCTGTCCAGGAGAGGTAGGAGCTTTGGGGAGGAGTTGGGGAGAGGGAAGGAAGGAAGCCTTTGGGACTAGGTGGTGTCTCCAGGAGCGAGTTCCAGGGAGTCCGAATATTGCCTGCTGGTGAGGACGCTGCACTCTGAGAAGATGCTCAAGTCCAGCTCAAGTTCAGCTGCCTCAGAGCAGTTCTGTCTTTCCCCGCCTGGTTGCCTTTCTCCTTGCACTGGGGCAGAACAGAGGACTTCTGTCTCCCTCTTCGGAGTCCTTGCCCCGCCCCATGCCACTAAGAAAGCCTTGGATCCAATCCACCTGCTCTCCCACATCTGCCAAAGTGCCCATTCAGGAAACTGCACTCTGCATTTGCAGCTCGCTCCCTGCCTCCAAACTTACCTTTGTGGCTGCACCTGTGGGTGGTACCCTAACTTTCCAGCTTCCGATTGGGTTTGGCTAACAGGAGACAAGGAGGAGAGGGAGGGGGCTGGCTCTGTTTCCCTGCTGAAAGCTTGGAGAGCTATGTTGTGACTCCCTTGCACCTACCAGGGCTCCCAGTTGCCCTGCAGAGCACCTGACCATCCCTTGCTGATTTCCTGTGCCCCTACCCGTTTGTGCAGGTGTTTAACTCTCCTCGGTTGCTCCCTTTGAGTTTGCCTTACGTTTATTGGGTGGACTCTGACAGTAACATGCCTTAACATGTTGAGGATAAAAGTGGCATCTTTAGTCTCAAATCAGGAGGACCTGTGTTAGCTGGAGCTTGTTAAGGCAAATTTCTACTAACTTAGGGGCAGCGGGGCCCAGCTACTGCACCTGTTTGGTGCTGGAGCACACGGAGAGGTCTGAGAACCACTGCCCCCCTCCTTGGCCTGTCCATGCCCCCCACCCCCACTGGTAGCACTTGGATCAGGGCCCCTGCACAAGCAGGGTGCACCTCATCCCTCTTACTGTCTCCACCTCGGGGCCACACGCCTTTTGCCTCTGCCTGCTGGCTTGGGCTTCTGTGTTTGTGGAATCTGCCCTTCTCATTTGGTTCACTTAGAAACAGCAAACCAGTTTATTAACTACTTGCTCAGTAGAAGTTTAATGGAGAAATAGTTGTTTAAAACAATCAGTCAAAAAGAACAGCTCTTTTACAAACGAGGTATGGCAGTGACGAAACCCCAGGCTTGATTTCATATTCCCTTCGCCCGCCTGCCCCTGGAAGAGGGGAGAGGCAGGTGAGCAGAGATGGGGCCGGTTGAAATGTTAGCTGGAGGAATTACAAAAATACACTCTGATGTAGCAACAGGGCCGAGGTGAAACATGCCGTGGCGGGGGTGGGGATGGGGCGGTTCAGAAGGCAAAGCCTGCCGGCCTGCAGGTGCTCACAGCCTTGGGGAGGAAGGAATCCTGACTCCCAGGCGGCAGGTCTGGGGCTGGACACATGCTGTTTGGGGGATCACCCGGATGCCTGAGGAGACAGAAATGATTAAAATGATCCTCTGGTTTCCCCATGGATCCCTGACTCCCTCCACAAACCTACCCCCCCAGCCATGAGTCTGCTGGTGGGACTAGCAGAATTAATGCAAGGAGCCCAGCCGCCTACCCAGGAATAATTCCTTGCTCCCTGCTACTCAGAATCCATGCTAAATAGTATCATAGGTAGCAGTCTTATTATTATTGTTACTATTTTTTGAGACAGAGCCTCAAGCTGTCCCCCTGGGCAGAGTGCCATGGCATCACAGCTCACAGCAACCTCCAACTCCTGGGCTCAAGCGATTCTCCTGCCTCAGCCTCCCAAGTAGCTGGGACCACAGGCGCCTGCCACAACGCCTGGCTATTTTTTTTTTGGTTGCAGCCTTCATTGTTTGGTGGGCCTGGGCTGGATTCGAACCCGCCACCTTAGGTGTATGTGGCTGGCACCTTAGCCGCTTGAGCCACAGGTGCCGAGCCTGGACAGGGTTCTTTATCCCACTCTGATGTTAGATGGCCAGTCTCCTCCCAGCCTTTTAATATAGATCAGTATTGGGTATCTTAGAAGTCAAGAACAGATCTGGCAACAGGATCCCCCAAGAGGGAGACATCTTCATTGTGTGTGGGGCAGGCTGGTGTGTGTGTATGGGAATAAAAACACCATTTGTGCAGCCTGTTACAGACTCAGGAGAACGTCTCTGTGTTGGAATTCAGCAACCACAGATGTGGGCAAGAAAGAAACAGACCGTTGCAGAAGAGAAAAGGAAATCTATCAATAATACCCAAATGAACTGCTTCATGTTTCCAATGTTTTCATCTAGAACTTTACATCTGAGCAAAGCAGCAGAGAAGCTGGTTACCAGCTTGGTTTCCGTGACTCTCAGCTGGAAGCGTCGTATGTTAGAAAAACCAACTGTCTGGATAGGGGTTCCAGTGGTTTTTAAAATAAATTGATTCCTGCTAATGGGCCTCATTTTAAACTGTTTAGGTAAAGATAATTGTAGTTCAGAATTAGACATGAGTTTCAGTGTCCCTTAAGAGCCACTTTCAAGAAGAGTGTCTTTAAGATTTGAGAGAATTCAATCCACGCAGCTCCTGCAAGATTTACTGTTAGATACTGTGCAGATACGGCCTAGAAAGAAATAAAATGCTTGTGAACCATCCAAGAGCATGACTTCAGAGGCAGTGCAGGTTAATTCAGGACCTTCGGAGATTAGTCATCCTGCTAAAATAAACTCGGCAGCCTTCTCCTCACCACTGAATGTGTGTGTCCATATTTGGTACTGGGCCTGTTGCAAACCCGCTGGCCTACCTGCAAAGAGCTACGGGGCTGTCTCCATGCTGAAGAGTGGGTGCCGAAGATTAGCATATGTATTAATAGACCTTCCAGGGAGATTATTAATGATATGGCTACCTTTACATACGAGAATTGGAATGGAACAGCACGCACAAACAGTTTTCTCTCATCCCTCTGAGTCGGGGAAAAAGCCCCACTTGGATTATATTTGGGGGGTGATTTTGATGAACTGACTTAGTTCTTTTCATTAGAGCCCATGTCTGAGCTGTTTGAAAAGGTACCTGGAGCTCTGCCAATGACCATATTCCTAAGTACTTGATGGGTGGGATTTTTTTTTTTTTTTGAGACAGCCTCAAGCTGTCACCCTGGGCAGAGTGCTGTGGCATCACAGCTCACAGCAACCTCCAACTCCTGGGCTCAAGCGATTCTCTTGCC